AACTTGATCGATTGATTTTGGTAAGAATTTTGAGCGCTCTTGGTACAAAGCAGTATTCCATGTGATTATAACTTTGAAATCACATAACAAAAAAGGGCAGCCTCTTAAAAAATAAAAATTAAAGCAAATAAGGGGAGAAAACATACCAAGAGAAAGTACTGAAAGGTATGAAACAAATCATTGTTATTAGTCTTTGCTATTTTAGTTTTGGAATAATCAATTCCTTGCGTTGCGGTGGATTTGGCTACTATACTTTGTTTTATTATTGTAATTTCCGGGGGGGACCTTCCCCTAAAGTGTCATTAGGGGACAAGACCCGATGTTACTTGGTTGAATGTTCTTCAATTACCACATAAAGGAAGCCGTTGTGTTACATTGTGACTTTGAAAAAAGTTTCGGTCTAATAAGGTTTCTATCAGCATTCGTCATCACTGGCGACTACAGTCTAATACATATCCTTTTCAGACATCTATATCACATTGTATATTCGACACATCACATGCTTGTGTAATATTTTTAAAATTTAGATAAGATATATACAATTGAGGATTTAAATTCAAAATCTCTTCTAACATACAATGAGAATTATGACTAGATCACAGCATATATGCTATGAGTATATATAAGAAGAAAACTACCAATAGATGAATACATGCACAACACAATGACTTCTTGTTAAATTCTTAATAATTTTGAGGAGGAGGCTACGGCCTACAGCTGATTACAGTCACTGTCACGTTTGGCGTGCGTGTTGTGGCAAATATGGAAAGAGAGAGCCTTCATCATGCTGCCAAATCAAAGGAGACCTGCCAAATTTTTAACAAACTTTGTCTCTCAACTCAACACGTGTTATGTTCTTAGCTTATGAGAACATTTGACCAGAAAAACAAAGGGGTGAGCAAGGACGAGCCCAAACAAGCAATTTCAAGACAAAGCCCAAAGGATTGCAAGGCTTACCAAAAAGAAGCTCAACAACGAGTATAAGCCCAGAGCCGACTCCAAGGAAACCGACAAAAAATGATTCCGATAATGTTTGACAGAAAAACTTAAAATGTTTCTGAGTTAAAACATTCCTTTTGTCTGGAGACGCAAATGTTTCTTGAGGAAGCACTTTCAAGTGCCTTTCTATGGAGCATTTGGATTTTAAATGAAAATTTATGCGTTTTCAATAAAAGCGCTTATGAAGTGCTTAATCTTTTTGCTAATCATCTGGGTTATTCTTTCAACCATTTCTTTTTCAGCTACGTTTGGTAGTTTTGACAAAGGAAGAACTGAATCCTTTTGCTTTCTTGCGTTGGGGATTTATGGGATGACTGGATTTACCAAATGTCATCAATGGAGTACGACTTATGTTTTACTTTTGTGGATTGAGGATGGGCCTTCTTGGCAATGATGTATCAGATTCAGTTCCAAGCTATCAAAAAAGAAAACCCTAATCTTGATCACTGGCTACACCTACATTCATAGTAGTAGTACTATAACCACCAACTTCATACTGTGGTACCAACTCTATTTTCTAATACTATCTTCTACATTTTATCAGGAAGATATTCAATATTCAAAATTTTCCGTTAAAAAAAAAAACAAATTAAAAACGATAGTAATTTTATTGATAACACGAAAAAAAGTACAAAGTATGCGCAATGCCAAATATGAGTACAACATCTCCAATGACCAAATACAAAAATAAATTTGTTTGATCTTGAGAGAATTATGCATGTCAGAAAAACCCTAAAAACTCCAATTCGGCAGACAAGAAGCCTCTGTACTCAGACCTACGAAAATTTTTCCAATTCTAAATTAATTATAAGAGAAGAAAAAGGGCAAAGTTTGGCTCCTTAAAACCAATGAGGTTTTGACACTTGTTAATGTTGCTATCCCCCGATTTTAAATCAATTATAAGAAAAGAAAAAGTATATATATATACTAGTTAATCATTAGTGCCTCACTTGTTTGATCAATGTGTTGATGTACACATTGATTTAACTTAGAAATGATTTATATTATATGCAAGTCTTAAAGTTGCATATAACCCTATACACAAATTAATGGGCTAGGAAAGTGATCCACCAAACCAAAGGGAGGCTGGATCGAAAAAACTGGAGGCCTGATTAATTTCCCCCTAAAAACTGTCGGTTTGCTTGACCTCTCTCCTCTTCACTATTCCCAGCACTAGCACTACTTGAAGGACGTCCAATCCAAGGTCCTCAATAATATAGTAACCTACCTCATTAATAAACCATCCTTAAATGCATGACAATTATTGGACCAAATTATTCATGTGGTACTAGTTTTACAACTGGATTTTACAACAAAATTTAATATTGGTTCGGTTTAGCTGCATGATGCTGTCCACGACGATGGTTTCATCCTAGGAAGTTGAAATCATCACAAATTAATATTGGTTTGGTTTAATTTGCTTGAATTAAAGTGAGACCAGCTGTGCCAAATAAACATCAATTAATGGATTGGGGATCCGACACATCCATTGCCGGAAAAAGTATATCTGATGCTTAAGTTAGTTGAGTGTTTAGAAGTAAAGTATACGAGAGAATTGTGATATTTGGCGATAATACCCTAACGCTTAGGTTTTACCTTAGCCCGGTCCATAGGATATTTTACCTCAACAACACATATACACAGTAGTAGGACATGAACATTTCCTTCTCAAATGTTATCCATTTGTATTATAGATCAAGACTCCCTCGTCACCAAAAGAATCAAAGACGTGTGCTACCAGATCACCTGCTTCATAAAATTACTCTACAATCAGTTATGAGAACAGCTGGAAGTTTCAAAACGATAGTCATATGGTCATTGTTATTAGGGCTTGTCTAATATAGGTCCCTACATTTTCTATTTCCTAGACATATGTCCATCATTCTATAAATCTATATGTAAAACTCAATTTCAAATTTAAATGACCAGTAGGATATAAGAGGTCATAGTATTCCTACATTTCTACATCATTGCCACTAAACTTCATATTTTATTTATAATTTATTTCAATCATTTTATTAACTACCATAATTGTAATTAATACTCCCTATTAATAGCATATCAATCACCCCATTTCTTTTGGTTACTATTCTCTCTAACATATCGCCCATTGCAAACCAAAAATATATATATGTAAATTACATATCCAATAATGTACCTA